CATGTCTGTTGAGCATCTACTTCATGGCATTAGCTTGCCGACATCCTCTTGCAGAATTCTCAGCACGGGGCTATGAGGGAAGTGTCTTCACCTCCCCATTTGACAGACAGGGAGCGGATGGCTTAAGGAGGTCAGGTACCCTGTGCATCCCTTCCTCTCTCTCTTTCCACCCAGCTAACAGTGAGTGCCTTCTGTGTGCCAGGAACAGTGAGGTGCCCCCAGGGGAGGAAGGAGACTCGAATTTATTGAGCACTTACTACGTGACAGGCACTTTTTAGGGAATCCTTATTAAACGCTCCTGACCACCCCAAGAAGTGAGTGATTTGCTGGGTTAACACCACAGGCAGACCAGCGTGGTCGGCTTAGGAGGAACTTTTGAATCTGAACGTCACACTCAGTGCGACTTTGGGCACATGGCTTAGGTTTTCTAAGCCTCAGCTCATCATCTCTGAAATGGAGATAATCGTAGCACTTTCTTCGTTGTGTGATTTCAAGGACTAACCCAGATGAGGTATTTAGTAATAACAGCAAATGTATCACACAGACGTATGTGCCAGACACCAGGCTAAGGGCTTTATAGGCACGATCTCATTTACTCTTCTCAAAACCCTGGGTATGAAGAAGCTTAGAATGGTGTCTGGTGTCTAATAAGTGATTATAAGGTCACAGCTGTGTGGGGGGGAGCCATGGCATTCCCTCAAGCCTGTGCAACTCTGAAGCCTCAGCTGGCACCCCTATGGGGTCCTGGATGGAGACCGGGGTGGGGGTGGGGGTCTCAGGAGCAGGTGTGCAGGGGAGAGGCGAGCAGAGATCAAGGGCTAGGAGCCTTGCAGGGCTTTTCAGGAAGGGGTGAAAGTGAGATTGCAGGGAAGCAAGGAGAATCTGGGGCGAGCATGCGGGGATGCCAGAAGCAGCACGGGAAGGGAAAGACAGAGATGGGGCAGTGGCGCACTCCAAGGAAGCAGCGCCTCGTGGCACCCCTGCCAATGTATTGCACAATATTTCGGGCCCGCTTTGCCCCAGGCTGGGGGCTGAGCCAGCACGGTGCATTGTGTCATGCCTGGAGTACAGACCCCGAGTGAGCCAGAGCAGTGCCTGGGGAAGGCAAAACATGGTCTCCGGGGACCTGTGAGCCAGCGTGGGGTCCATGCACCCAGCCTGAGGGCAAGGAAAGCCACTAAGGGCCCAAAGAAGGCCCAGGCCATGGTCAGTGCAGCTGGGTAAAGAATGGATTGGAGTGTGGGTTATCGGTACAAGACCAGGGTGGAGAAGGAGGCGTGGAGGTAGCTCACAAATATCAGAGACCAAGAAAGGCCCTCCAGCACCCAACCCTGCTCTCTGACCTGGTGATGGCGGATTCCAGAGCAGGTGGGGAGGGTGACAGGTATGATGTAATGCCCATAACAGGGAAGTTCCTCAGTCATGATAATGATAATTGCTACCATTTATTAATCTCCTACCTCCTGCCAGACACTTTAAATACTTTATTTCTAAGTATTCCATTTCATACATAAGGAACCTGAGGCGCAGGGAGGTTATGTAACATGACTAAGAAGTGGCTGGGCCAGATTTCAAACTGATTTTTCCAACACATGAATCTACCCGACATTCTCCAGGAGTTTAATGATCCTAAAACATTTTACTCTCTCTCTCTCTTTTTTGTAGATGTAACATACACATTTTGTGCAAAAGTGGGTAAGTTTAAAAATGTCTCTCTCTTTCACCTGTCACCCAGGTCCCCAAGCTAGATGCTGGCAGAGCAACCAATCTCTTGTCCTTTTCTTGACATAATCTATGCATTTATAAACACATTCAGAAAAGTGAATATATATATATATATTTTTAGAAAATGAATGTCCCCAATTCTATATACTGTTATATACCTTTCCCTACCCCACTTAATTATACATCTTAGAGAAATTCTCCATCCTTACATATAGAGATGTGTCATTTTTTAGAAACGGTGGCAGCTGCAGGCTTTCACTGCATGGAGCCACCAGGCTGTATTTAATTGATGTCATATCTATGGACACTTCCCCTAAAGGTAGTTATCCCAAACCGTTTCAAATCTGATTTCTGCTCTGCAAGCTTACCTGGGTAAGGATTTTGTCACATCGAGTATTTCCTTACACAACCCCTGAAGGAAGGGTTCAGTTTAAAATAGATATATAATTTTAAGTTCTGGTCACTGTTTTTGTTGCTGCTGATAAAACCCTGGAACATTCCTACACCAATCGCTGTTGCTTTTTGGTAGTTGCCTGGCGTAACCATGATGATCACGTCCCAGGAACCAGGTGTGTAACTCTCCCCGTGTTTCCATCAGACAACCTGTTCCTGCACTTGCCTTCTTAGCATTGCCAGGGTGTTAACACTGGCATCCTCTTTTGGCAGAAAAGGAAACAGATTCAAAGAAATGAAACCACATGCCTATTTTTACCCAGCCAGAGGTGGCTGTGCTGGGATTCAAACTCAGATTTCTACGAGCCACAATATTTCAGTTATGTCCACTCACACTCTCCTTGGTGATTTAGCTTTCCCTCTTGAATCCTATTTTCCATCTTTTCTGAGCTGGTTATTCTCCATTAGCCCCTTGGAACCTCTTTTTCCCCTTCTTGGCTCAGCACTGTGTCCCGAGATGCTGGGCACACTTGCTTCCTGGCTTTTGAGCCTGACTTCCAGTCTGGCCGGTGGGGTGAGAGGCGGGGAGAAGAGCGTGGCCAGCTCTCCCGTCCTTCTTCCTGCTCCCTCCCTGATGTTTGGCAGGCAGGCTAGCCCTCTCCTACATTTCCCTGAAAACCAAAAACCGCTCCCTCCATCTGCCCCCTCAGGCCAAGAGGTGATGACTGGCTTCCCACCATTGCTAACCCCAGGATGCTTTCCGCTCTTCGGTTCCCTTTTATCTGTTTACATCTCAGCAAGTAGACTCTTCTTTGAACCCTTTTCAGACTCCTTACACATTCTTCTTTAAACTCTCCTATTTGAATGGACCAGATGTTTCTTTTCAGGACTCCGATTGCTACATGTGGCTGCACCTCACCCCTATTTCCCTTCCTCTTCTTCTGATGACCGAGAAGTTCTACAGTCTGGCCAAACCACCACGCTACGCTTCTCTGCGTTTCCGCTCTCCAGGGAGATTGCTTGAAGTGTCACAGAATGAACTATTAGCCTTTTCATTTCTTGAGTAGCTAAGATAGGACAGGCACTCATGCCTTCCCTCGTGGTGCTTCCTGTCTAGTGACAGCTCGTGTCTCCAACTCTCTTCCTGACAGGGCAAGTCACTGGCCCCTCTGGACCTGGCATCTCACCACCAAGGGGTGGTGACTGGCGTCCCACGGTTGCTAACCCCTAGGTGCTTCCAGAGCCTGATGGTCTTCTATTTTTTTTTTTTTTTAAAGATTCCATTTATTCACCTGAGACACAGAGATACAGAGAGAGAGAGCGAGCACGAGCAGGGAGAGAGGCAGAGGGAGAAGGAGAAGCAGGCTCCCCACTGAACAGGGAACCTGATGCAGGGCTCGATCCCAGGACCCGGAGGGCATGACCTGAGCCGAAGGCAGATGCCCAACTGACTGAGCCACCCAGGCGCCCCCCTGATGGTCTTCTAGATCAAGAAAGGCGTTTTTTTGGCATCTGCTGAAATAGGGGATCTCAAGACCACATTTTAAGCAGAGGCACTGTTTCCCTCTAGAACCCTGGAGAGTTCAGGTTATTGGAGGCCACTCAATGCCTCATTCAAGAACAACTGTCTCTTTCTGGCTAAAGCACAGACTTCCAGAACACCAACTAGACAATGTGGTTTGGCTTCGTAGAAATGAGCTCCATGGTGGCCTGGAGGTCACAGCCTGACTTGCCATGCCTTGCATTACTTCTCTAACATGAACGGCATTTCTGGGTTGTCTGAATATTTCTATGTTTTCTGAAAGATGGCATGTGGTCGTGGATGCCACCATCTGAATCAAGGTCTGTTTGCCGACCCTGAGGGGGTGGGGAGAGTTACACATTAGCCATGGCTTGCTTGCTCTCTCCTTATGTTTCTGCTTTGAAGTCAGCCAGCGTCGCTTAGAAGACAGGTTTCCTGGTAAACCAATTGAAAAGCCTGTTTTCTCCTCTGGAATTTAATACTTGGGACTCAGATGAAATCTGTCATCACAAACCATTCAGGTGTGTGTGTGTGTGTGTGTGTGTGTATTTATGAAATGGTATTATTTGAATGACCCTGTCTTCAGTCTTTAAGATTTTTGATATTCCTACTCCAGAGTAAGTTTCGCCTTGACACCAATACCCCCCACTTGGAACAATTGTTCTCTCTATACCTTATATTCATTTTTGACTAAGCTCCTCTACCCTTAGCCCCCAGCAAGATCTGAGAAATAGACAACCAGGCAAGAGGTTCTTTCTTGAACATTGAAAGAGAATATTTCTAAACCCAAGAAAGGGGGTTGATTAAATAAATTATAGCACATGCATATACAGGACTATAATACAACCATCTATATCATCATGCTGCTTTGAATTTACTAACAATAAATAAAATCATAACACATTTGGAGATTCAAAATAATCTCATCTTATTAAAAAATACAGAATTATATTCCCCAAGATGTCAGTAGTGATCACCTCTATGTGGTTGTGGGTAATGACAATTATCTTCTTTTCCTTATCTGTGTTTTCTAAATTTCTTCAATGACATGTGTTAGTTATACAATTTAAGGAGGCTTATTTTTTTTAAAGAAAAAGAATGTTCCCAGATTATCAGTACATGATGATTACAATTATCTAAAAATATGTTATTGGAGATTGTTTCCATATAAACGGAAAGAGGGACAATTCATCCCCTGGCATTACTGAGGATAAACACCAAATCGGACCTCTCCAGCCCTCACATGCTGCTACCTTTGCAGGGGAAGCAGGGAGCAGGGTGGGTCAAGGGGGTCTGTCCAGAGCTGCAGTGCCCACCAGGTGCCTGCAGCAGGTCCACGGATCCCCGGGTCAGGGCTTACCTGGAACACACAGGCATCTCCTTGGGCCCGGAGCTGGCCCACGAGCAGGTAGGTGGTGAGTCCTGCCAGGATGGGGAGCGATACCAGGCAGCAGGTGAGAGCCCAGTGCACGCTGCTCCTGGCTGCCAGCCTGGCTCTGGCCTTGGGCGTGCAGCTGCCTTCCTCGGGCAGCATTTCCACACTGGCTGTTTCCCCGAAGCCCAGCCCCAGATTCTCCGCCATCCTCCTGCTGATCCTGGAGCTGGCTCTGACTCCCCCTGGGCAGAGAGACCCTCCATTAAATAGAAGACAAGCTCTCACAGTGGGTGCATTAATCACTGCCTACTCCTCCCCCCCGGGGCCTCTCCCCTCCCCACTCCACAACACACTGGGCCCTGCCCTGCTAGGGAATGCACCGCCTACAACAGAAACCAAGTTTGGCTTAAAAAAAAAAAAAAGAAGAAGAAGAAGAAAGCTTTCCCAAGTGTATTTATATACAGTGTGCTCATGTGCTCCTTCATTCGTTTGCAGAAGGAAGTTAGGAAAGTCCCTGGAGGAGGAGAAAAAGAATCCATCAAGTCAGTGGGCAGGGCGAATTAAAATATAGCTGTCCCTGCCCTGGAGGCCTGCCAGCCAAGCCAGTCTGGGGAGTGTGCTGCTTCTGGAAGTGAAAGTGAAGGATGGGGAGGTGTGTGGTGTGGCTTGCAGACTGGGAAATAGAAATCATGTTTGCATCACCACTTTGCAAAATGCTGCCAGGCCCTCTGTCTTTTTGAGCTTCATAGGAGCTCATTTTCCTTGCGCAGCTAGGAATACTGAAGTTCTGAAAAGTGAAGGCACTTGCTTTCAGTCATCCAGGGATTAAGACAGAGGATCCAGGAAGATGGTCTAGTTCCTCTAAATCACTATTTGGGGTTCTTACTTCTATTACACATCCACCTGTGAGAGGAGAACGTATACCTAACCTGAGTTGACCAGTTGTATAAGCAAAGAGCATGAGGTCATAGAGGTGACTGTCCATAAGGAGAGGACATTGACTTTTCCTCTCTGATTAGTTCCAAGTTGATTGAGCACAAGTGATAGGCCTTGCCCACAGTTGGGTGTGTATGGGGGCCACATTTATTAAACATTTCCTCAGTGCCAGTCACTATTCTAAGGGAGTTAAATGTACCAGTGAAGTTATTTAATCCTGAGATAATCTTTTGACATAGTAATATTATTATTCCCACTTGACAGATAACGACATGGAACCATAGGATTGCGACTCAGGTCAGCCGGCTCCGGAGTGTCATAACCATTACACTAGGCTGCACGTGCTGCTATATTATGCACGTACACGGATACCCACACCCAGCATGCCCAGGGAGAGGCCATCCTTTCCAGTTAAGGGTTGGGAAAGCTTCCTGGAGAAAGACGTGGTGTTGGAACTAGGCCTTGAAGCTTATGGAGGGTGAAGTTGGAGAAAAGTAGAGGACCCTGCAAAAAGATGGGTAATAGAAATAAGAAAGCTTAAGGATGTCCTGTGGCATGTGGTGGAAACCAGTCCGACTCTCACCTACATTCAGTTGCTACTTCTGCTTATTTCACAGCCTGAGCCTTGTGGTCTACTTGGAAAGGTGTTTCATGACCTGGTCCTTGCCCACATCACCCCTCGCCAGTGTCCAGCCTCATCTCTTAAGACTTTCCCAAGCTGCAGTTCTCCCAAATGCATTATGGATTAGCTACACTGTTAGCTTTTCCCTCCACTGTGACAGCTTCCAGTCTTTCCCCTTCATATCACCATGCCCCCTATTTTAAAACTTTGTATTAAAACCTTCCCTTCATCGCCTGCCTCCAAGATTGGGTGAGATGCTCATCTTCTTTGTTTTTATAGCTTCTTATTCTTCCCCTATCATCAAATATTTCATACTAGACTGTGGCTGGCTACCTTTCTATCACCCCCATTAAGTCATCAGATGTAGGAGGACAGGTGCTAAATCCTATCCCTTCCCTATGGTTGTAGCTCCTAATGTAATGATGGTCTTAACAGACATCTGTTGAAATAAGCATCCAACATATTTCCAAAGAATCCAGCAAAGGATGATTTTTATGTCCCTTGGTTACCCATTCTTGGTTTAACAAACCTAGTAGGAAACTTTTCTTTAAGATCAAACTAAATCTTTGCCACTGTAACTTTTAAACACACAATCACACTTAATATCCGATCATCTTGAAGGAGCTTGCAAATGTGTTCTTATTCTTGTATTTCTTTTTTAGGAAGTTGGTATGTTTAATCAAACCAGGGTCTTAAAAGTGTTAGATGTATGGGTTCACATGAAGAAGTATGTATCATCAGCCACAATATAAGAAGGCTTCAAAAGATGGGGAACGCTAAAGACACCAGACTAGGGATCTGGAGATCTGGGATTTAGTCCCTCAATTGTGTGACCTTGAGAACTCTAGCAGACCCTACTCGTTTTAATGTACCTGGCTATCTACAAAACCTGGGAACTAAGCTTGTTATATTTCTGTTTAAAGTAAGGGTCAATGGATCCTGAGTTTGTGCCCAGGGAATGTCCTATAAGAAGAGAATAAGAGTTTTAGGGCATGAAACTATGGGCATCTAATTGGGATGGTTGTAGATGTAGATTCACATGTAGTTGTAAGAAATAAAACAGAGAGATCCTGTATATCCTTTACTCAGGTTTCCCCAAAGGCAACATCTTGCATAACGAGAGCATAACATCACAACCAGGAAACCGACATTGACGTTGATATTCAGATTCTACCAGTTTTATAGGCACTCATTTGTGTATACATATTTAGTTCTGTGCAATTTGTCACATGTGTAGATGTGTGTGACAATTACCACAGTCAAGACACAGAAAAGCTCTTTCTCAAGGATCCCTCATGCTACAGTTCATAGCCACTGCTACCACCCTCCTTCCCCTCCTCACTTAACCTTTGCCATCCACCAGTCTGCCTTCCAACTCAATAATCATGTTATTTCACAAATGTTATATAAATGGAATCATGTAGTCTGTATCCTTTTGAAATTGGCTTTTTTTCCCCACTCAGCATAATTTCCTTGTGGTCCATCCGAATTATTGCATGATCAATGGTTCATTTCTTTTGATTGCTGAGTAGTATTCCATGGTATGAATATAGTATGGTTTGTGTAACTGGTGACCCATTGAAGGACTGCTGGGTTATTTCCAAGATTGACTTATTATGAATAAAGCTGCTTTGAATATTAGTGCACAGCTTTTTGTGTGAAAGTGCCTTCATTTCATTTCTGGTATAAATGTCTAGAGCGAAATTGCTGGGTCATAACGGTAGGCACCTGCATAGTTTTGTAGGGAACTGCCATATTCTCTTTTCTAGAGTGGTGATATCATTTTACTTCCCACCAGCAATGTGTGAAAGAGCCAACATCCTCTCTGCATCCTCCCTCCAGCATTTGGTGTTATCACTATTTCTCATTTTAGCCCTTCTGGTAGGTGTATAGTGACACTCCCTGTGGTTTTACTTTGCATTTCCCTAATGGCTAACAATGTTGAACATCTTTTCATGCACTTATTTGCCATCTGTAAACTCTTTGGTGATATAGACATCTATTTTGGCTGCTAAAAGTTACTTCTCACTTGCTTCTAGCTTCTTAGTGGATTCCAAGGCAGAAGGGAAATAGCTTACAGAAAAATGACGAGTTATTGTGTTTGAGCGCCAACTATGTGCAAGGTAGCTTTCTAGGTACTTTCTAGCAGTGACAAGAGCAGACAGCAATCCGTATGGTCATGAAGCTTATATTCTAGTGGATTGAGATGGCCAGTAAATAAAATAAGTTAAGTGTGTAGGGAGATAGGCCGTTAATTTAGTTACATTTTAACATAGGGTGGTCAGAAAAGCCCACCTGTGCTAATAGGAGATGCTTGAATGAAGACCTCAGGTGAGGGAAGCCATGGGTGTCTGGGAGCAAACTGCTCCTGGCTTTGAAGCAGTTGTGTTCTGGGAGCATGAAGATGGCGGGGAAGGCTGGAGCAGTGAGGGCGGAGGAGACCAGGAGCAATGAGGTCAGAACAGTATCAGAGGAGGTTGGCCACACAGGGCTTCTGGGCATGGGTAGGACTTGGCTTCTCATTCCGTGTGGCGGGGAGGCTCTAGCACATGTAGGGCAGAGGAGTGGCAGGTTCTAATTTTGCCTCATAAGGATCATCCAGGCTGCTGTGTTGAGAGTAGCCCGAAGGAAGGGTGGAATCAGGGAGACCAGTTTGGAAACTGCTGCAATCATCCAGGTGAGGCAAGGCAGTGGATTGGACAGGTGGTGAGGGTGAGGGTGACAAGAAATGGTGGGTTCCAGATATATTTTGAAGTAGAGCAGACATAATTTCTTTTTTAAAAGATTTTATTTATTTATTTGACAGAGAGAGAGAGAGCACAAGCAGGGGGAGTGGCAGGCAGGGAAGAAACAGACACCCAACTGAGCAGGGAGCCCGATACGGGACTCGATTCCAGGACCCTGGCATCATGACCTGAGCCGAAGGCAGATGCTTAATCAACTGAGCCACCCAGGTGCCCCGAGCAGACATAATTTCTTATCCAGCTGGATGTAAGGTGAGAGAGAAAGAGAAAAGAAAACTCTGGGTTCAAGGTTCTTGGTTGGAGCCTTGGAAGGATGGAGATGCCATTAGTGGAGACAGGGAAGGAAGCTTGAGAGCTCAGAATCAAGATGTGCACCATTGAAGGTGACTTTTAGACAACCAAGCGTAGGTGACATTACCAGGAGGCAGTGGATGATGAGTCTGGGGTCCCAGGCAGAGACTTGGTTGCAAAATTAATTTGAGAACCTTGCATGGCACAGCACCTATCACATAGTGCTCTAAAGTGATGCTCCTCTTGATTACAGGTCCTTAATTTTTTTTTTTAAGGATCACAGTCCTTTATTACACTATTTTATTCTTTCAACTTTTTTGAATATTTGAAAATTTTCACAAGAAAAAATTGGAGAGGGAGAATATATTTTTATTTCTACTCCTTTATGGCACCCAGATAATCTAAATGTGATTTCAGGTCCTTAATTTCTTAATTCAAAATCTTTGGTGTCAGGTTTTGGAAAAGCCCTAAGTTAAGCTATATGATATCACCATTATCTGACCATTTTTGACGTATAATAATAATTTCACATGGTTCACCTTAATAATCCCCTCCATATGCCTTATATTACATAATACACTTAGTGGAATTTGAAACAGTGAGATATAATCAAACACAGAAATATTTCTGCAGCCCAACACACTCATACTAAGTGGGCTAGATAAGGACCACACACACACACACACACACACACACACACGC